TTGTTTCAGCTTTCATATTGTAAACAAGTGTCCATTTCATGGTCTGTTTAGTGAAATATTTTTCACTAAAAGCTTGTCGTGCTTGATTTTGGTGATTGTGCTGTTTAAAACGATCCCTAAGCTGCTTTGAGGGGCTGCCTGGTGTGATGTGCCTTATGGAGAGCATACATGTTAGATAATCTTCATTCAGACTTGAGTTTATAGTCCTGTTGACTGACTTCAGTGTTAATGAATCTATTATATATTATTAATAAATAGCATGTCTTTAAATAGAAATACACATATGAAAAGATTATGTATTGATCAGTTGGCAAAAATGTGACTAGAAGCTTGCAGGAACTTAATCCTGTATTTCTGTTAGAAACACTTGTTTGGTATTTATGGCAACTTTATAGAACACGATTACTGTGAATAATGAAATTTAATTAAGCACAGTGATTTATAGACACTTTAGGTATAACCATTTCATCGTTCCTTCTCCCTGAAACCATTGAGATTTGTTTAAATACATGCATAAAGAGTTGTATTGTAAAATTTAATTTTACCATAGGTTCAGGTTAAAAGTCATTGATTAACATTTCTAAACATTATCCTCTAGAAAATTAGGGGCTTCCCAGGTCGCTCAGTGGTAAAGATTCCACCTGCCAATGCAGGAGACGCAAGAGATGCACATTCAGTCCCTGGGTTGGGAAGATACCCTGGAGAAGGTAATGACAACCCACTCCAGTATTCTTGACTGGAAAATTCCCTGGACAGAGGAACCTGGCAGACTACAATCCATGGAGTTGCAGAGTTGGACATGACTGAGCACACATGCTCTAGAAAATTAATATGTGCCTGAAATATATATATATTGGGTGCTCAGTGAGTGTGTTAGAGTAATAATCTAGCATTGTAGTGATTCTGATGTTGGAGAAGAGGTCAGTGTCAGTGTGAGGACTTTGGCATATTTAGTTATATAGACTGAGGCACATGAAGGAAAACCCAGTTGAATGTCACTTTATGGTTCCTGCTTTGCTCTTTGCTAGCTTGAAGCTAGCAAACTTGAAAAATACTTAATCTCTTTAAACTCTCACTTTGTGAAGTGAAGAACGTTTTCATTTTAAAATTTCTATGATTTTCTTTTATCAGTATTATTCTTGACCTTAAATCATTTCTAGTCTCATCATGCTCAGTTGTCAAAAAATCATGGAATTTAATGTCACAATATATTAGCCATCAGAGTTTGTTTTATCGACCTCAAGTTCAGTCTCACTGGTTATTGGTAAAAATGTAAGGCATGTATTTGATATATTTTGACATCATATACTGGTAAGATTCAGAAATAAAAGAACACTCTTAAAGTTTACATAATTTTTTTTTTTTAGGGCATAGGATTCTGTTTATTGGTGTTTGTGTTATATATGACAAAAGTGTCCTAAATCATACAGAAAGTTTTCTCTAAAAAAGTTTAAAATTAGAATTTTGAAAAGCAAAAATGTGCTTTTATTAATACCCCATTTATGAACATTTCCTGTATGGCAGTTTTCAAGTTTTAGATTATGGGTGCTTAAGTTTTGTTTTGTTTTAATAAACGATTTTAACTATCTTTAAAATTTTTCCCCCTTAAAAGTATTTATATATATATATTGGGTGCTCAGTGAGTGTGTTAGAGTAATAATCTAGCATTGTAGTGATTCTGATGTTGGAGAAGAGGTCAGTGTCAGTGTGAGGACTTTGGCATATTTAGTTATATAGACTGAGGCACATGAAGGAAAACCCAGTTGAATGTCACTTATGGTTCCTGCTTTGCTCTTTGCTAGCTTGAAGCTAGCAAACTTGAAAAATACTTAATCTCTTTAAACTCTCACTTTGTGAAGTGAAGAACGTTTTCATTTTAAAATTTCTATGATTTTCTTTTATCAGTATTATTCTTGACCTTAAATCATTTCTAGTCTCATCATGCTCAGTTGTCAAAAAATCATGGAATTTAATGTCACAATATATTAGCCATCAGAGTTTGTTTTATCGACCTCAAGTTCAGTCTCACTGGTTATTGGTAAAAATGTAAGGCATGTATTTGATATATCTTGACATCATATACTGGTAAGATTCAGAAATAAAAGAACACTCTTAAAGTTTACATAATTTTTTTTTTTTAGGGCATAGGATTCTGTTTATTGGTGTTTGTGTTATATATGACAAAAGTGTCCTAAATCATACAGAAAGTTTTCTCTAAAAAAGTTTAAAATTCGAATTTTGAAAAGCAAAAATGTGCTTTTATTAATACCCCATTTATGAACATTTCCTGTATGGCAGTTTTCAAGTTTTAGATTATGGGTGCTTAAGTTTTGTTTTGTTTTAATAAACGATTTTAACTATCTTTAAAATTTTTCCCCCTTAAAAGTATTTAGTAGTTAATTCTGATTTCCTATTAATTATTGAATATTATTTATTTGGTCATTGACTTATTTAATAGATTATTATTAGAAAGAACAAATTTCCTGAAATACTGTTTTTTAAATTAATACCAACAGAAAGTGAAATTTTTTTCTCTTAATTTCTATATATTTATTACTGTTTTCCACTCTCAAAATGAGTCAGAAAAATCCAATCCAATAAAATAGAATGCATAAAAATTTTTATGTAAATCTATCAATTGGATATTTTCAGCCTCTTCAGATATTCTAGAATTCTTGTAATTTGACTTTCCACTTTGTTATTACATATTTTTTTATTGACTGTGCTTTAAATCTGATTCTTCTACTTGAATTTACCATTATTGACCAGGTCTATCTATAAGAACCTGTATTACTTTGAAATCTGTTTACATGCCTCACTGTAAATATGAGTCAGTTATTTTTACTGGCTTAACACATTTCTTCTCTGTTCTCCTCAATAAAACACTCAAGTTATACAACGATAGTCATTTGTGTTGTTGTTGTTCATAATTGAGAAGTGTTCTTTGTTGACCAATACTGGTACTATTTTCGAAATGCCAGTTATAAACTTTCTGTTTGTTGATAGGTCAACTGCTTACCAACAGCCTCCTCTCTTCTTCACACACATTCTTTATGATTTGTTTTATGACCATTGTTCTCTCTCTTTTTTTTTTTTTATTTTGGTAAGTTTTTCTTAATATGTCATTTAACCTGTTTCAATCTTGTAAAAACATGCCTGTTGGGTTGGGTACACAAAGAGCAACTAATGTTTGGAGCTTGCATTATACCAGGCAGTGTCGCTTTCTTCATGCTGCTCTGTGCCTCAGTATCCAAGTGAAAAATGTTTGTTAGTGTTAGGGCAGCTAAACTTTAGACACAGTTACTAAAGCAAGAATTTGATTCTAGCTTTGAAGAAAACCTGTGTATGGCAGATTTACCGTTAAGAGACATGAGGTACTGCATGCGTGCATGCATGTGTGTGTGTGTGTGTATTTTTCATTTATGTAGGTCACTGTTTTTCAATATGTTATTTTTAAGCTGACTTCCTTCCAACTGTTCCCACATTAAGAAATATGGTGAAAGAGATAAATTTAAAGTATTTATTTAATATTATTTTGCTTTTCCATCTGTCACCATGAATGTAGTATCCTTTTTAAAAGTTATACCTTTTTCTAACTTTTGAACTCTTTCTCATCATCCCATTTTAATTATTATGGATATAATTTCACTGTTTCTTCTGTATCTTGATTACATGATCAACTTCTTTTGTTTTGTGCTGGATCATTCTTGTCAGTGTATAGATACTCTGCTAGTTCTCTAGTCTTAAAGAACAAAAAAATCTTCTCTTGACATTATTTTCCCTACCAATTTCCACTCCCTTTCTTTTGTTCCCTTTTGCACTCAACCTTGTCCACGCCCACCATCCCTATTCTCTTTTCCCAGTCTCTTAATTCTACTTTTATCAGTATCAGACTTCAACTAATAGAAACTGCTTCTATAGTAGTGACTTCCATGTTACTGAATGCAGTGGTCAGTTCTTTGTCTTCATCCTACTTCATCTATCAGCCATACTTGTCATCATTTACTTTCTCCTGCTGGGTAAGCTTTCTTAACTTGGCTTCACCAGTACCACTCTTTCTTGGTTTTCCTACTTAGTCATCTTTGCTGCCTACTCCTCCTCTTTTAGGATGATGGAGTGTCTCAGGGGTCCATCTTTAAAACTCTTTCTATATTTGAACTTCTAGTGTAATTAGAATTTAAGAACCCCCTCCCCCCACTGTACCTTATTTCTTAGAATGGTTGATTATAGAAGAGAAAATGAAATACTGCTGTTTTAAAACTTTCTTTTGGACTCTCTTGACCCCGTCTTAAAGCTTGCAGTGAGACCTGTGGACCTTTGGGGGAGACCATCTGTTGGCAAGGATTGGGAAAGTGGATAAGGCTGTTTTATTTCAAGATCATTGTAACATGAAGTAGTTACTCTTGGGGCATGATAGAAAATGAATGTTGGATTTCCTTCTCTTGAAATTCTTAAAGATATTTTTTAAAGGAATTTTATATGAACTTGTGTAATGTGTTGGCATTATTTTTTGTAAGCTCAATTATGTCCATACAGATATTTGCCAAGGATGAAATCTAAGAAGGAGCGTTATGAAAAGATTCTATATCAGATCAAATTTTAAAGCCACTGTTAAAAGCGTAAAAGTAAACATGCTTGATACATAAAATTTGAGAAATACAGTAAAAATTGAGTTAAAGCTCCTATATACCACTGCCTAAATGCAGTTTATATTTTGAAATATTGTTTTCAATCTAGTCATTATGCAGTTTAAAAATCATTCTATGATTGTATAATGTCCTGCATTTTGCCCTTAGCATCCATGTTTTCACAAATTTTTTTATGCGCAGCATGTTTAGATGTATTTAGTTTAGATATATTAAATATATCCCATCTCATGGGCTCCTTTGTCTTGAACATTTGGGTTTTGATTATTTTAATTTGCATTTAATTTTATTTTTTGTTTTTGTGGATAAAGCTGCAGTGAGTATCCTCTGCATCACTTTTTTTTTCTGTTTTAGGAATACTTCCTTAGGATAGATTGCCAGAAGTGGAGTGACTGGGTCAGAGGGTATGAACTTAATGATTTTTTTTTTTCTTTTCTTTTCTTTGAAATAAACTTTTTAATTTATTTGATGTCTGGTTGATTTATATTCATTATGAAAAACAAAAATCATAGTGATTATATTTGGTAACTCAGAAAACTATCTAAAGGCAAACTTATGTGATCAGAAAAGTTTGGGAAATTCCTAAGGTTAAAAAAAAAGCCTTTTAATCTTGGTTTATCTCAGCATTTCCTGTACTTAACTGAGCATTGAATAGGTTTTTTGTGATATACTTTTTAACATTTTGTGGAAGTTTGGTGAAGGGTATAGTTTATGATCTACTGATCTAAAATTTAAGAATATTTTGTTGGTTAGATTGTGTTGTGTTGGTCAAAGCAAATAAACTATAAACCTTTGTTCTAAAATTATTTTTAAAAGGAGATTAAAATAAAGCTATTTACTATATGATTTTTGTGTGTCTTTATAAAGTCTTGTAACTTTTATAATTTAGTTTCTATTGGTTTCAAAAGAACATCTAATGTCTGCATTGGCATCTAATACTTTTTACAACCTGTATTAAAATTTGGAGTACAGACATATAAAAGTAGAAGATAATGTAGATTGTAAAAACCTTTCTTCCCCCCCCTCATTTTTCTCTACAGAATGTGAAAACCTTTGCATCTTCTGATAGCCTAGCCAAGGTCCAAGAAGTAGCAAGCTGGCTTTTGGAAATGAATCAGGAACTGCTCTCTGTGGGCAGCAAAAGACGACGCACTGGAGGCTCTCTGAGAGGAAACCCTTCCTCAAGCCAGGCAGATGAGGAGCAGATGAACCGTGTGCTGGAGGAGGAGCCGCAGCCGCAGCTCAGACACCAGGAGGCGGAGCACGCGGTGAGGAATGGTGAAGTCGCTGGAGCAGAACCGAGGCCTGGGGACCAAAGCGATTCCCAGCAAGGACCGCTGGAAGAGAACAACAACCGGTTTATTTCGGTAGATGAGGACTCCTCCGGAAACCAGGAAGAGCAAGAGGAAGACGAAGAACATGCTGGTGAACAAGAGGAGGAGGATGAGGAGGAAGAAGAAATGGACCAGGAGAGTGATGATTTTGATCAGTCTGACGACAGCAGCAGGGAAGATGAACACACACACAGTAACAGTGTCACAAACTCTAATAGTATTGTGGACCTGCCTATTCACCAACTGTCCTCCCCGTTCTATACAAAGACAACAAAAGTGAGTACCTTTAGTCTGCTCGCCACCTGAGACGTTTTACGTATCTGTGTTAATTTTGGCGAAACTTGCCTCACAGTCTTTGTATCATTGCAGAATTCATCTTCAGTTGTGTAGTAGTAAAATGAACCAGTTTTCTTTTTTCTTTTTTTTAACAGAAGATATTAGAAATCCTGGTAACGGGACAATATTATTAAATGGAGAGAAGGCTCCTATTACTATGAAAAATAATTAATACCAAATCTCATCATCAGTTTTGTCCCTGGGACAGGGGTTAATAGGTTGTGTGCAGTGAAGAGGGTTGGAGTGAAACACAATTTGTGTAGATCAAGTAGTGAAGGATCTCATTTACCAAGTGCAGCTGGTCTGATGGGCTGTGTACTCACAGACCTTAGCCCGTGGCACAAGTTACCAGAAGTTACCTCAAATCAGTTTTCTTATTATGGTGATTATTAAGGTATATTCTTTGTAAACAGCTTTCTCTTTGTTACGTAAACAAGGTGAAATTGCTGTTTGAGTATTAGTATTTGGTTATTGAGGTAATCTGAGTATTTTCAAAAGTTAAAATACTCTAGACATCAACGTGTTTAAGATTACGAAATGTGTTTTCTGCATTATAAAACAATAGGAATGTATGGTGCTATCTTCACTACTCTTCTTTTTCTGGTTATTTTATTAAAATGAAATCTTGTCGGAACCCCAGAGGAATTGGGTTTTTTCCTGACTCCATGTTAGTGGAGCTCTCCATTTGCTTCTCCACACAGTTTGCATACTAACCATGGGGTAACCACACCATTCTGGCTGGCATTTGACTGTGAGAAATAGGAGATAATATGAAGATGCAGTTAGATTCCCAACTTGCTGTCAAGTTTCTGCCACTGTTCCCCTTGCTTATAGTTTTCCTTTCCCTGTTCCTTTCCTGGGAGATGGCTGTGTTGTATCTGCCTCCTTATCCCACTTCGTTGGTGATAGCTCATGAAATTAGTCATGGACATGTTTTAAAAGGTAGACATTTAGACTCCTGTCTAAACTGGAGGAATCCTATCAATTCAGGGACTTAATAACTAATCTGGTGCTGAGAAAAACAATTCCATTTTATACAGTCCTTGGAGGCTGTGCCAGAGTTAGAGACTGGATACAGTCTTACTGTCCACAACTATCACTGCTTCCCAGAGTTATCCTTGCTGGATAGGCAGGGAGCTGCTGTCTGAGGGGGAAGGGGCAAGTGTTTGGGAAGCTGCAGTAAATATGGAATTACCAGTGCCAGTTCTTTGCCGTGGCATATGGACTTATTTCCTGGGTATATCACTTAAAATTGCGGGCAGGGACTGTGGAAAGAAAGCAGCATTTCTCTCACTTCCCAGTCTTTCTGTTATATTCCCCTTCCCCCGTCAAATTATAGTAAAAATGAAATGATACAGTGTTTGGGCTTTGCTTCAAAATAATGCCAAAGGGAAGAAAAAGGAGGAGGGTATAGATTGGCCATGAGTGGCTAAGTGCTAAAGCTGGTTTACAGGGACATGGAGTTTGTGGCTGTTCTACATAGTTTACAAAGTATGTTTAAAGTTTTCTGTAATAAAAATTAAGTTGTAAAGACCAAATACATACACACCCAAAGTTGAAAATAGAAGTTTTCTTTACGCGTCTTGGTCTTACTGACTAGCTCCTACGTCAACAAAGTGCTGACTTCTCTTCTGCATTGAATTTTATTTTCTCTATATTTTGGTGCTATTGAATTTACAGGAAATTCAATAAGACATCATGTGCATTTTGCTGGAGTTAGAATTTATCTTAATCAATATTTTAGGCAGTGTTGCTATATAATGGTCTATATAAAGAGGAGAGAAAGTAAGAAGAATTATACTCAGAATGAATGAGGTATGTAGCATAACTTCTATCCTGTTTTTCCCCTCAGGCTTCTTTGCTTATAGATCTTTATGTTTGCATGCTTTCTGGTTCTTTATTATTTAAAAATTAGGTAAAAATCATGAATATCCATATAGAATAGACTGTGAGTTAAGCACATCTTTGGAAAGGAGCATTTTAACTCAAATAATATCATACTTATTTTACAGATATTAAAAATAAATATTGACTGAAGTAGTTTATCCTCATACTCTTATTTGCTTACTTTTAAATTTTATTTTGCCCATAAACAATATGCAAACAGATTTAACATCATCCTCTTTAACCTGACTTGACCAGCAATGAAATAGCTTAGACACTTAAATGCTATAGACATTGCTATATCATTTTTGCTTTGCCTTGTGAATTTTAAGCTCTTTCTAAAATATGTTTATCCCTAATTTCCCTAGCTTGTCTGCAGGTTTACATTTTATTTAGTAGGTTTGATCTAAGAAGGAACTGGCTTCAGCTGGTGGTTTTCATCCCTCTTACCACCCCATCTCAAGGTGTTGGCGTGGGGCTTTGGCTTGATCACTACTAGCGCAGCCCCACCTCACTGGTAAGGCTCAGATCTTTCAGAGTGCAGTTTGCTCGGTTCATGTCCCCATCTCTGGATCTCTCTTCCTCAAGGTTACTGTCTTAAAAGAGGGAGTTTATGTATATCACCTTCTGAGGATTCAGTTAGAGGAAGAGGGGTTTAGTATTTAATTGCATTATCTTATTTAAGAAAAAAGTTTAATCACAGCTAAGCCTTTCTCAACAATGCAAAGCTATCAATGAGTTCTGCTGCATTTTAAATATAAAACTAGAAAGGCAGCTAGACGAAACATACCATTGTCCTAAAGGAGAAGTCATCATAATGTTCAGTAGGAAAACCTGCAGCACCCCGGTTTGATGGGCGCTTTATCTTTCCCTTCCCTTCAAGATGAAACTGTAAACAGAACCTTATATGTGTCTTATACAGAGAGTACTGAACTCAAGTCTGTTTCCTCTTGTAACTCTTGAGCTGTGAGTACAAATCATCGTGTTGCACACACAGGGCCACAGGAGTGGCAGCGGTAGGCCAGCTGTGAGTGTGTGTCGCACGCTTTCGATACGCTGTTCACTTGTGGGTCATTTGCCTTCATAAACATGGCAAGAAAAATACAAAACTATTTGATTGCTGAGACAGAGGTGCCCTTCTACAAAGTAGGATGTCACTCTGAAATTAGCCTGTTTCCTGTTTTGTTTGTTCTTGAAACACTTCTTCAAGATCATTCCCAACAACACTTTTTTTTTTCAACAACATTTTAAAATGTACTAGTACTATGTTGCTTCAAAAGAAAATATCAGTCACCCATGTGTATAAGTCCTTTAAATATAGTAAATAGGGGAAAACTCATTATTGCAAAATTATTTTTTTGAGCAGCTCTTAATTACTGATTATTATAAACATGACACTTTATTGATCATTATAAACACAAGACACTTTCACAGATATTACCCTAAGCCACAGTTTCTTTTAAATCTTCTTAAACCATGACTCCAGAGGAGAGTAGAAATATAATAGTTATTGTAAAAATTCCATTATAGTTTTACCCAGCGTATCTTTCAAATGTTTTTTGTGTGTGTGGGAGGGCAGCTTCTTAAACATAAGCTTTGGACCACTAGACTTACTTCTTTGTCATACCTGAACATGCTATATATATACAAATATGATATTAATGAGGAAAGCCATTTTTGGTGCTTCATTGCATTGACCTTTTGAACCATAATGGAAAAAAACTCCTAGGACAATCTATTTTCTGCCTAGTCACCAAAGATTTATTCTAATGGGACCCTATATCCATAATATAAGTTAGAAATTCCAGACTTTCACAATGTTAAAAGTCAAGGGTAGTAGCAGTCAAGAATTGGTGTTTATTATGTCCATATTGTATGCAAGTTCCTGTGACAGTTAAGTAAGCCAAGCTGGCAGAGAGGCCAGCACCCGAAAGTTTCACTGTGAAGTGGTGAGAGGTTTTAAGTCAGATCTGCCTAATTAAAAAAACAGCTTTTCTTTCCATGTGCTGTGCTGACCCCTATGGTAGAATTTGGCAAACGTTACTGAGCAAGATTTTCAGAATACAAGTCTATTTAGGTTCTAGACTCTGGATTGTGGTGGCTTTCTAATACCATATCACATTTTAAGTCAACAGAGCTGTCCTTTAGAAAGTACAGATTACTTAGTTAGGTGCTTTCCTTTGTGATATTTAATGAGCATTGAACTGACAAGGACTCAGGCTAAGGTTGTAACAGGAAGAAGTGACGGTTTGAGGCTGATAACATACCAGAATCTCTGGAGTCCATCAGGTGTACTTTTTAATCAGGGGTTGTGTGCTATTTCTGTAAATTTTGTTAGTCTGCTTGCAAATTCTAAATTCAACTTGCTTCCCCAGGTAGGAATGCCCAACTCTTCCCTGGGTCGACAGTGTTAACCATATTTTTAAAAAACAGAACTCATTTTCTGAAGAGAGGCCCAGCCCATACAAAACACTCCTTTCCCATATTTGATGTAGAGTATCAAGTCATTTTCTACTAAAATGAAAAGCAAATAAGGTTACCATAAGACCAGGTCTTGTATCCTTCTGATCTTTTGTGCAGAGAACCATGTTTGAGCACTGATTTGTGCTTCTTCCATGTCTATCATGGTGCCTTCTATTTGTTCTCATGGAACTTCCTTCCTTACCTCTAATCTGTCTTTTCCCCATCCTGACTGTTGGATTTCTCCTGGTAGCTAAGCAGTTGTGTGTGTGTGTCTGTGTTCCCCCCTCCATGTGGCATGTGGGATCTTAGTTCCCCAACCAGGGATCAAACCTGAGTCATGCCCTGCAGTGGAAGCCCAAAGTCTTAACCGCTGGGCCACCAGGCAAGTCCCTAAGCAGATTATTTTCCAGTCCTTTTCCCCTCAAATAGGACATAGTGTTTTGAATATATATATATCTACATCTATCTATCTATCTATCTATCTATCTATCTATCTATCTATCTATATTCAAAGAAGCAGTATGTCTAGTGTCTAGGGGCCTCAGACGTTTTCTTGTCTCTAGATTCTAAACAAGAGAGGAGCTAGGCACAAG